GCAGGAAAACTGTAAAGGAAAGCAAAGGAGGTCACAAACATCAGCTTAGTGTTCCATCCTGAGGCAAGGGAGGGACTATGTTCTTGGAAGGGCACATGAGGGGCTTCAATTACTGGTGATATTCTACTTCTTAGCCTGGGGCTGGTCTGATGGTTCACTTTACAATTATTACTTAAAATGTACCTATCTTTTATGCACAATTTTTGTGAACATGACATATTCCAAAGTAGCAAGAATATTGTTGGGTTGCATCTTCTGACTCTAAAAGGCCCAACTTCAGTTATTAGAGCACATTATAACCTATGTAGATTATAACATGACAGTGTTCTTAAAAATACTTTCTTTTTTCCATTTTAAAGTTTATATTATAACAAATGGATTATAGCAAGTAAAGTTCAAAGTTCTGCCTTCTTCTGAGGTGTAACTTACTGCTTCTTCCTTCAAATTGTCTGGCTTTAGCAGAGATTCAGACAACTTCCATATTTCCTTTTAATTTGATCTTTAAGAGCCTTAAGACAGCGTCCCAACTCCTACCCCCAGATCTCATTATCTCTGGGAGGGTCCAAGAGATGGAATCTTTTTGATAGAAAATCATAATATTCTAGTCATGTTAATTTAAATCACTTATTACTTGCAACTCAGAACTGCCAAGGAATCTTGCTTCAAGTAAAGGCAAAAAAAAAAAAAAAAAGGGTAGAATCTCCCTCAATACTGTTTTTCTTGTTTTTTTTTTTTTTTCCCCACTGAATATAGGATTTGGATATAATTAAAGGGATACACTGGCTCAAATCCTTTTAAGGGCAACGACCTATCCACATTCATAAAACAATTTCCTGCCATTACGGGAGTAGCTAGATCTCCCAATAGAACATCAGCTCTAATTAAGGTATCCACTGCATAATTCTGCTTAGAGTCTTTAATACCCTCATGTACACACACACACATACACACACACGTACATGCACACATATTTGGTTGGCATCAATATGTGAGACTAAAATTTCCCTTCATCTGATTATTTGGTCAGCTGTTTTCAGATTGATTTGCTCTGTTACTTTGGATCCAGTATACCAGTTCCCATGGCCCAGGGCTTGACCCCAGCGAAGTTATTGGAAGTGGTTCAGGAATTCTCTGCACCTGACTATTTTATTCTGGAGCCTTTCAAGATCTTCAGGCTTGACATGAGTTGCTGCCTTTAAGAGCTCTCGTTTAGTCCTAAAGCAGGGTCAGAATCCTTGACGGGATGTTTGAGAACAGAGATTCAAAAGAAATAAAGATTCATGAGGTCCGAGACTCTGGTCTTCAGGATAGAGTCAGAATTCCCTGATTGTGGCCCCCATTTGGTGAGGTGATTTTGACCCAGGGATGGGTGAAATTCCTGGTAAATTGAGTTTTATTTCCTAGTATGCTTTTTACATTTTTTTTTTTTGGCAGAGCTCTTCTTAGTCTTAACAATCTTGTGACTGACTAACCTGTCATTCATTTTTTGATAAGTAGTTTGTAGCACTTGATGTTCTTCTGTGAGTAGATTTTTTTTTTTTTTTGTAACCAAGCGGCCAAGTTTCCTTCTCTGTGTGGTATGAGCCAAGTGGAAAGGCAGACTGTACTGGGATCCAAAGAGCATCTTATTGCTTCCTTTCCCCAGTGGGTGGTCACTAGCTCATGTATGTCCCAAATGAGTAGGCTGAAAAAGCCTGCCCATGTGTCAAATGGGTTAACTCCATCAGTTAAAAAGACTACTCATCTATGAACCTCTTTCTTAGAAGGGGGGGTTTAAGTGAGAGAAAGGTAATGTTTACTTTGGGAGGGTATTTTTCTGTGGTCTAGATATCTCTATGGCCAACAGGGTATCTTTCGGGAAGGTTCTTGGGCTTGTTTTAATGATCATCTATTTTATGAAAGTCATAGATTTAATAAGAGGTATTAATTAATATTTCATATGTGTAATTGATAAAGGCAGTGACCCTGTTGTATGCCAAGAATCTAAATCCATTCTAACAATATTATGAGCTAAACAGTAGAATGAATTTATTTCTATTTGAGTAAGAGCGAATTGATTTGGGAGATATTTCATGGATAGTATAAGCGAAACTTGTCCTCCTTTGTGTATCTCTATTCAAAGATCAAAAGCCATGGTGTCTTTTGGTGAGATATTTGCCTTCATAATAAAGACAAACTCTCAAAGACCTTAAAGAAAGATTTGTATAGTAGGTTTAAATTACCCCTTCAGGGAATTTGTGTATTTGCCCTCTTCTAAAAGTTATATTTCTTGGCTTTAAAAAATTCCCTTAGAATATTTTTTAAAAAGTGAAGAGCATATTGACTGTCAGTTGCTTTATGGGAAGAGTAGCACGGATAGCTCTTGTAAATGAAAACTAGTGCAGGGACTGAGTTTGCCGCTATGGGAACGGTACTGTTGATAGTCAGGAGTTGTAATGTTTCCGCGTAGCCACAAGGAGGAGACAAAGAACAATGTAGGTGACCGCAGACTCTATCGACAATGCCTTAAGGTTCAGTCAAGATAGAAATTAATTCCCTTTAGCGGGGCTTCTTCTTTCATTTTAACACTATTTGCCAGAAGTAAGAGGTCTTATGGTTCCATTCAGTGGGACCAACCACTAGAGCTTTAATGGTTTTGAAATTAATTGCCCATTCTTCTGATAAGTCAGTGGCTATATAGTGCTGAGGGGAGAAGGTATAGGTAGAGTCCTTCTTATCGCCTTTAAAACTGTAAGGCAGCCATTTACTACTTCCCTAAATTACCCCAGGGTGATGTCTTTCCTTTGAAATTTATCCAGTTTTCTAGGAATGTGGGTATTTCAGATATTAGATCTAATAGGCTATGAGAATATACGTGGTTCCTTGTCCCACACTCTGAGACATGAAGATGGAAGTTGGGGTATCCTTAAGAATGAACAAAGGACACTTGGATACAAGTCCTGTGTTTCAGACAAGCTTCTAGGACTCCACCGAGCTGTTATTTTGAAGCATCAGATCTTAAATCCTCCAGACTAGGTAGGGCAGGGTTGTGGTATTAAAGGATGTGTACCTTGGGTGAATGACCCTTATCATTAAGTAACTTCTTTTTGAGTAGCTAGAAATAACATGCTGGGTTTTTTAGCAGTTTGAATCAGGTTGGCTGTTTGTGGTCAGTAGCCACATACATGTAAGTTTCATGCACATAGAGCTGCAGGTTATGGCAGACCCAGTAAGCATCTGTAGCGTGTTGGCTGCAAGTGTGGGCTCTGGAGTCCCAGCGAACAGGGCTGGAAACGTGGCTTCACCACTTAGCTTTGTAGCTCTGCTTCCTTCTCTGCAAAGTGGAGACAGTAGTAGTACTTATTCTGTAGGACTGTTGTGAGCATAAATAAATAAAAGCACTTATAACAGTTCCTGGCAAACAGCATTTATTGATGATTTATCATGGCTACATTCACATGCTTGTGAGCAAATATACTCTGGAATACAGAATGCCCTGAGACAGTCACAGTTACAACTAACTGTGAATTTAGAAACAAGCAGCAGAGCTTCCCCTTTTAAGAAGGGGAAGGTTCTAGTTTCCACTACAGAGAGTGTGGGGAGCAGTCAGGTTTTTGTCTTTGTCTCTATGGCAACCTCTTAAACCCAGTATTTTCCATCCATGTACTCCTCCTTAATGTCATGGTTAAGAACACCAGTTCTGAAGTTGAATTTCCTGGGTTCAAATCTTTCCTCTACCTATAGGGAGGCTAATCATATGTGGAGACAACCAGAAAATCAGGTACCAATACCTTTTTGGAGGTTAAATTTGATATTTAATAAAAATTCAGTAGTTAACATGAGCTAAATCAGAAGTTTGGTGAGCTGCCATTTTCTAGGTGAATTTTTGTTTAAATTCTAAGTCTTCGTGGAGGATTTTTTTCATTGCTGGGGGTTTCACTCAAGCCCTGACTCTTCCTCTTATTAGCTTGGTTACTTCAGAGTTATTTAATATCCCTAGACATCTGTCTCCTCAACTATGATGTGGGGATAATAAGAGTAGCTGCTTCTAAGGTCTGTTGTGAAGATTCCATGGGCTAGCTCATAGAAAACACCCCACGCTATGCCTGGGACAGACTGACTGTCATTGTGTGCTAGGTGTCATCACTGTTCTTTCCATTCACAAATGTTTATTGTGTGCCTTTCACGTGAAAAGCACCTGGCAAAGGATAGTAGTGGAATAAAAGGAAATTATCCTAGAATCAGTAGGAGGATGATGGGATTCATAAAAAGACATTCCCTACATCACTTCTCCTTCTGAGGAGCCACTCTGCTCTGAACACAGCTCATGGAATGATATTCAACATGACAAAAATATGGTTTAAAAGCAAGCTAGGGAAAAATGGCCACACCCCATCATTAATCCTGGAGATGGAGGTCTAATGAGAACTCCACCTAGCCAAAGAGTTGGGATGGGTTGGAATGGATTGTGTGAAAGCTCAGGGAGGCTGCGTTGTGGATTAATTTGGTCTGCTGCGCCCAGAATAATCCTGGTCCCAAGCGAAACCTGTTGTGCAGGCGGACTTCTCATCACAGCTGCTGTTAACACCAGACACCGCCTTGATTCTGTGGTGACCAGAGGGGTCAGTTGCCTATTCTGTGCAAAGAACAAACAGGCTGGTGGACTTGGCAGGCTTTGCTACGTGACATTTACTTTTACACTTGATCTTAGCCAAAAGGCCGAGAAGCGATGTGACATTTACTTTTGGTTGAAACAAAAGTACTAGAAGATGGAACTAACCAAGAAGACTAAGTGGCTTTGTGACATCCAGTTTGAGTTTATACCATCTCTCTCTTTTTTAAGATTTTATTTATTTTAGAGAGAGAGAAAGGGTGAGTGAGCAGGGGGAGGAGCAGAGGGAGAGGGAGAAGCAGACTCTCTGCTGAGCGTGGAGTCCCCACACAGGGCTTGATCTCACTACCCTGAGATCACAACCTGAGTTGAAATCAAGAGTTAGACACTTAACTGACTGAGCCACATTCTTGGGTTAGGTCATACCCAAGAATCCTTCCAGAGGTGGGAGAAGGGACAAAAGACAGGCTAGGATCTCAATAACTATCAGTGATATCATGTCTGGAACAACACTGATAATGCATTAAACACTCTTACGCAGAGACTACATGCCCACCTCAAGGTGGCCAACTCTGAAGTGGGATTCAGTTTTCAGGTTGTCCAGACAGACCACCATGGGCCCTGGCAAAAGCTAAAGAATACCCTTGCATGTGTATGCATATTGCAGTGGATGAACATGTTTACCATTATCAAACACCATACTTTTATCCCCATGTCATGGATAAGAATACAGAAGCATAGACAGAGACTTTTTAAGAGATTTTCCATAGTACCGAAGCAGGTTCAGGGCTCTCTATATCAGCCTGTCTCTCTTGCCATTAGGAAACTTCCCAAAGCATAAGAAATTACCAGCCATGTTCAGGGCTGGCAGGGGTGAGGAGTGATATCAGATTATTATGGTAACCCATAGTCTTTAGAACTGTTGATCAAGGGGCACCTGGCTGGTTCAGTCGGTTAAGCATCTACATTTGGCTCAGGTTATGATCTGACTCCCTGCTCAGCGGGGAGTCTGCATCTCTCTCTCTCTCTCTCTCTCTCTCCCTCTGCCCTTCCCCCTGCTCATGCTCGCTCTCTTGTGCTCTCTCTCTCTTAAGTAAATAAAATCTTAAAAATAAAAAAAGAACTGTTGGTCAAAACTAGGAGCTGAGAGCCTGCAGGACCTTAAGATATGCAGATGTAAGATCCTCTGCTGGAGGATTAGGGCAGTGAAACAAGTCAGTGAGAGCAACAGTATAAACGGGAACAGTAACAAAGGCATTTTCCTGAGAAAGTTGGTGTCATTTTGTCTTATGACTTAACCGCCTCTCCCCCACCACCTTGCTGCACGTCGTTTACTTCTGAGGATGCCTGTACACCCGCATGGGGTTTTCCTGCCACTCAGGCAAACAGGCCAGGCTGTTTGCCACTTCCTTCTGGACAGGCCAGCCCCAGGCCTCAAAGAATGGAGCCAGATTCTTCTGCACCTTTTCAGAGAACTTCTTCACCCACAGATTCATCTTGCCATCCTTGTCTTTGGGGATGCCAGAAAGCGTTTGGTACTCAGCAAAGAGCTGGGTGAACGGCTCCCACCCAAAGGCCTCCTGGAGCTGAGAAGAGAGAGAGGGACAGGGTGAGGAACCAGTTTGTGGAGGTACCTGCAACGTGCACGTTCCAAGTGTATTTCAGTTACAGTGATTCCTTCCCCTTGATCATTCATGAGCTTCCCTCCTGTGATCTGCCTCTGTGTCCCTACCCTACCCTTGCACATAAATATAATCCCGTTGGCTCACTCCACCTCTTGGCCACAAAACCTATAACCCTTCTATTTAGTAGGGGACTTCACAGGGAAACTAATATCTGAAAAGGCATAAATATTCAACAAATGAGTTATTATAATGATCTCTAATTAAAAAAATTATATTCCCAGATACTAAATGTTTTCCTAGGCATCAGACGGGTCTGAACCTGACTTATATCAGGGAAACGCTTATATCTCGCATGTTTGGCCTTTGGGACCCTAAAGGCTGGGAACTTCCAACACTTTCCAGACATAATAAAATCCCTGTTTTTATACAGCCATTTCAGATCTGTAACTATTTTCAAGGCTACTATTTTGCTCTGTGGAGCACTCTCTTTGGGGCAAAACAGGAAGAAGCAGGCATATCACAAGGGGCTCAAAAGGAGAGTGACTCATGTTCACGGAGGGGCAGCCCACCTGAAAGCCACAGCCAGGAGGCCCTTGTCAGCTAAGATAATAGAGGTCTAGAATGAGCAGGGATCCTGGGGTGTCCCAGACCACTCGCCCTTTTGTGCAGGAGAATTCTGACTCTGGGGTGTAAAACCTAAGGACAGATGACATCTGGGGAACAGCTTTGACAACTCGGAAATGTTAATGTTCAGAGCAGTCTTGGGGAGAGGACAGGGCTTTGTGCATATTTCACAGGAAGTCCACCTGCTTCAGGACTTTGGTATTCTCCCATTGGGTTAGTTGGTTATTCATTTATTCATTCTAAAAACATTTCAGGTTCAAGTGGGATGACTGAAGTCAGAGAGCCTCAACAACAGTTATCTCCTAAAAAGCCTCTTGTAATGCAGTTGTCCTGGAGACACACCACTGTCATCACAAAGGGACGAAGGGATGCAACACTCACAAAACTAAGGTGAAGAGAAACAAAGCACAACAAAACAACACCCACTTCTGGAGCACTTATTAGGAGACCACGGTCAAAACCAGTGAGTGGAAGCGCTGAGCTCCAACCTCAGGAATGACTAACTCAGAACTTCTGCTCATGACCGGTAGACCAGTAAGCTGTAGTTTCTCTACTTGGTTTCCAGAATACTTTTCATTTCCTCTTACTTAACATCACAAAGTTAACATCACACAGGGCGCCTGGGGCAGGTGTTATTTCCTCAGTCTTAGAGAAGTCCCACTAGGCAGTCAGGTCCCCCATGGCCAGGCTGGAGGGGATGGCGAAGGGGGTCCAGGATGCTACATGATAGAGGGGTCTGCTGGCCCTCACCTCCCTGCCTTTCTGCTCCGTACCTGTAGATATGTTTCCAGAGCTGTCCACACATTCCAGTCATGCAGGGGGGCTCCTTTTCCCAGGTGCATTTTGATTCTCTTCTTTCGTTCTGGAGGGCTCAGAGCAGGGTGGGCCCTAGCCCTGGGGATGCCCAGGACTGTTTCATGCACATAGACAGACCAGAGGTTGCAGGTAGCCTCAGTGGTGTGTGGCGGGAACTCCCACTCTTGTTGCTGCTGGTTGTGACCCAGCTCATGGATGGGTCCCCACAGACCCGTGCTCCTCATGCCTGCCTCATTGATGAGCTCTTGCACCGACTCCAGGTGGCACATGATGGGGTATCCTGAGTGCATCCAGCCTGGGATTTCAGAAGGAAGAGATGAGGCTTGGCAGAGGTGGGGGGCACCCAAACCATTTCCCTTCATGCCTCTCCACCGGGTAACTTTTCCACACCATCCTGGCTGCCCCCAGTAATGCCAGAATCTCCATGCTGATTAGAGAGTAGATGGCTTGCTCTGCTTGGTCAGAAACTGAACAGTCCCCAGCCCCCTTCCCAGCCTTCCATGCCAGGGTTATGCCCTCCTCCCCGCTCTGGCCCTGAACAGGACCAATACACTTTCCATAGCCATTCTCACTGTAGTTCAGTGCTTCATTTGTGTGAGTTTCCTATCATGTGAGTCTGTGACACTGTATCCTGTGTCTGAATTTGAGATCCCTGAGGCTGCAGCAGTGTCAGTTCTTCTTCTGCCATGTAAGCCACGGTTGTACAGATTTATGCACTTTAGCAGAGATAATCTTCTCCTTTTTTAAAGAGAAAACTGAGATCCAAAGGAATGTTCTGTATGTCAGAACCACGTTTCCTTATTTTTTCTTTCATGTAAACCAGTCAATACTTAACATAAACTTCTTTCCTTCCTTTGCCAACTCTGACTTCTGTTTGAAGGAATGTTTCTGTTTCTCCTTGAAACAATGAAGAGATGGCTCATTGCTATCTGTGAACTCCTAGTAGCATTTTTTTTTCTGAGATTGTTCTACCATCCTGTGAAATCTCACCTTGTAGATGTAAATGATTCACCTTTTCATATGGGAACATCTTTGCACCCCCATCAAGGTCTACGTCTGTTATGTCTTTTTTGCTTTACTGGTGAGATTATGCCTTTCACATATGGGGCATTAAAAAAGACAAAAGAATGAATAAATGGCATCCACTGACTAGAAGCACCCACCAGCTGAGATCTGCACATCAGCAACAATCCTCTCGGGACAGCAGAAAGGGAAAGGCCGGGCTGCTAGCCGGGCTATCGCGTGCATCATCTCATCCCAGAGGCGGAGCACTGGCTCAGGGTCCTCCAGGGCTCGCAGGTTTGCAGTCGGCACTGTCAAGATGATATTATCTGTTGCCAGCTCTCCCCAGGGAGCTGTGCTCTCCTGGATACAGTTCCTCCAGTTCTCCAGAGATGTCTTACCTGGGAATAAATATTGTGGGCCTGTCACCCATTTCCCCAACTTACCTTGAACTCCAGGAGGAGGACACTGAAATAATGAACTATTAACATGTGGGTCTACATGCTATGAAGTAAAGGACTGGCCTCCAGAGCCTCCTCTTGGTTCTGCCGGAAGTCTCCATGGACATGGTATTCCATAGCTCCCACCTCTGCTTACATCTTGAACAGTTCTTCCCCCCTTCTGTCTGCCATTCCCTACCCCACCCTTCCTTAGCAACCGGCCCATAACTATGGTGGCATCCCCAGTGCCCCCACTTCCCTCAGCATTCAGTCCACTCACCCAGCTTGTAGTATGGGGCAGGCACAGCCCTCTTGATGGTGACAGATATGGGGCCCAGTTTGCTGCCCTTTGGCACGATGACATAGAGAAGGCCACCCCAGAGGCAGGAGATGGATCGTATGGTCCTGTCCATACAGCACTGATGAGTCACCACAGGGGCTCGAGACAGCTTGCTGGCCTTGGTCAAGTTATCAGTGTGGCAGCCAATCTGTACCTGGGGAGGTGATTCCACCATGTGTAGGAGGAACTAGGTCCCTGTGGTGTGTGATGGGTGAATGACAGGTACTAGAAAAACACCAGCTTCCTCCTTCAATGAGCTATGCATGGAAACCTATGAAATTTTAGTACCCCAAAAGTCATCGGGACTGAAAGGTATGTGGAACCATTCTTCCAGGGATTTAAACAGCTTTACAATGGATTGTCACCAGACAGACCAGGCAGGATAATCCTGAGGCTGATACTGACTAGGGCCCCACGGGGCCTCTGTACCGGGTGGAGTCCGGTCTCTTGTGGCAGGGCCTACACCAGTGTGGTGATTCCAAAGCCAGGATGAGCCAGAGGGGATACTGGTGACCCTTTGTACACAGACAGGACACCACCCATCTAGAGGCGGCGGGATCTGGCCTGAGTGGGGAGGACTGATTCTCACTTCCCCCTTTGTCGAGGGCTCCTCTTCCTGGTCAGATGGGTTGAGGGCTGTTTTGTCTGGAGTCCTGGGGTTTCTGTTCTTAGGTTTCATGTAAGCGAGCTCCAGAAAGGAGGCTGACACAGAAGACACCCTGTAACAGGAAGTGACCCTCAGAGTTGAGGCAGGACAATTTTAATTCTGCCTCTAGGGCCTATTTTTGTGGTCCGATGAAGCACACCCTTCAGGTGTCCAGGTAATGACGTACAATGCAGAAAGGCTGTGTGCTGTTGGCCAATCGGGTGAAGTCCTGAGGATGTGACAGGTGCTCCTGGACCCCCTCATATCCCTTTGGGGGGGGTGGGTAAAATCACCCCACATGGAAATCCAGGGGCTTAGGTTTGAGTACCTGAAATTAGCTCTGGCATTCAGTCCCTCCTTTAGGCTCCCTGAAATTGAGCTGCTTCGTCTATGAAATCTATGAAATGGGCAGAATAGTCCCTTCCTGGCCTCCTGGCAGCACTGCTGAGAGCTGAGGAAAAGCAAGTGGCTCTGTGGTTTGGGGTGTCGGCAGTGGCGGTTCTGGCCTTACCTTCAGGCCGGCACCGGCTGCGGCTTCAGACAGTGAGACTTCTGCACTCTGTTCACCTGGGAGGTAGAGCCCAGTGCTCACCCAGGCATCACAGTGGCCTGACAAAAGCCATAGGAAAGGCTGAGTTCTTCGCTCACCTGCCCCTGCAGCACCTGGAGCCCCACAGCCCCTCCTGGAGGCACAGCCCCTGCCCCGCCTCCCTCAACTCATCCATGCTTCCGGCATGCATCCCTCCAAAACCCTCAGCAGAACCCCAACCCCATCTTCCCAAAAGGACACGATAGACAATGAAGCTGGCCCACCTGAGCTTCAGTACCTGCAGTGTCCTGTGAGCCCGGGGAACCCCACCTTTCCCCGGGTTCTGATGCTCTGGCCGCACCCCTCACTCTGTACCTGGGTTGCTCCCATCGATCTCCACAGTGATGGGGTGTCCAGAGCTGCAGGTCCAGGTTCCAAGCTCCTGTACTAGCTGGGAGCAGTCGGTCCCAGAGTGTGCCAGCTCCGTGGCCAGGCAGAGCACTGCAGCCTCAAAGGAGTCACCAGCCACAGGGTGCTCCCGGCTCACAGCTGGGAGGCCTGACAGACGCAGGGTCTTCCTCAGGAGTCGGTGAAAGGATATGTAAGCAGGGACCCCCTCTGCAGGGATCTGTAGGAAGGCTGCGCCATCTGCTCCCAGCTTTGCCAGCCAGCGCTTTTCCAAGTTCCCACCCCCATGGCTCAATGCAGCCTGGAAATCGGACAGCGCCTTGCGGAAGTGGTAGCTCCGCATCTCGGGGGTAGGGACAGGGAAACAGCCTGCATCAAGGGTCTGAGCTAGGATGCTGAGGCCTAAGCAGTTGAGGATAACGTTACCAGGGAAACCAGCCAAAGCAGAGCGGCCTGGGTTCTGGGAGGCCCACCACCAGGCCTGGCCCCCGATCAGCAGGCCCCCACCCTCAGCCACAAACTCCTGCAGCTGCTTAGCCTCCTGGTCACTGTAAGCCACACAGCAGTAGACACGCAAGTCATGCGTCAGATGGGGCTGCAGACTGCACTCCAGGCCATGCTCTGACAGGAGGGCACACAGGTTCTTTAGATGTGTGTTCACCCCCAATTTGCCCGTCTGGCCTCTGGCCAGCCAGCGCACAGCATTGAGCAAAAAGGGCCCCAGCTTGGGAGCACAGAGGATGGCCTCATGGGCAGCCAGGACCACCCGGCCCCGGCCATAGCGGGCAGCTGCCAGGAAGCAGCCGAGCGAGGCATCTAACCCCAGAGGGAAGGCGAGGGCCCCGTGCACCAGCAGCTGCGAGGGGACTCCCCCCGTCTTGATGTCCAGCTCTGAGATCCCTTCCAGGAGCTGCTGCTGATCCTGCCTCAGATCCTCGCCACACCTGCAAAGTGACAGGGGGACACAGGGGCTACAACCAAGTCAAGGAAGCACTGAAACAAGCTCAGTGGGGAGCTGGGGATGGGGAAATCTGTGTGGGGGTGCACAGATGACCTCATTCATGGCCATCTCGTTCTCACTAATAACGGCTAGGATTGGAGGATGTGATGCCGTTTACTTTATTGAGTCTAAGGCGGATTTTCCCACCTTTGAACAACTAACTGATGGCATAACCTTGTCTAATTGGCAGTGTTTGCTCTTACTTCATGACACACAAGATAATGGTGCTTCTTATGACTGATGAGGTCACAGACTTGATGAGATACTGAGGAGTATGGTGGTGGCACATCTTAAAGTCCACATTCTCTGAGTAAACCTTTCCAGGAACTCTTCCCATGCTAGTCAACTGAGTGGTGAATATTCTGGCTTGACTTTCAGGTCTTTTTAAGTGATGACACATATAAACAAGTTAGGAAAAAACAGTCCATTCCTAGAGAAAGTGGTCCTACTTCATTTCTCAGAGCTAATTTTTTGCCAAAAAAAAAAAAAAAAAGCTGTGAAAACATCAAATTGCTAGCTCTGAGCCAGAAACATAAGTAAATTGTTTAATACCGCACTTAAAGATTGATGCAAACACACACTCTTTTAAAATTCTCACTTAAATCTGATGAGATTTACCACTTTTATTAAGAAATGGTCTAAGTGTCATAAATTCAGAAAAAGTTTGTATTTCAAGATTCTTTTAAAAAGATTTTACTTATTTATGAGAGAGAGAGAGAGAGAGGGAGAGAGCACAAGCAGGGGGAGCAGCAGAAGGAGAGGGAGAGGGAGACTCCCTGCCGAGCGGGGGGCCCGATGCGGGACTCGACCCCAGGACCCTGGATCCTGACCTGAGCCGAAGGCAGACGCCTAACGACTGAATCACCCAGGCGCCCCTCAAGATTTTTTTAACCAATTTGTAGATCCTCTAAATGTCAAACAATGGGAGATTGGTTAAATAAGTTACAGTTAACTATAGATAGCATACCATATGGTAATTAAAATAATTATTAGATAATACTGGAAAATGCTTAAGGGAAAAAATTTCAAAATCAGATTCCAAGATACTGTGCCCTAAATAAACCAAATTTTGTGAGATGAACCATCAAAAACAAAACCAAAAATGAGTAGAAAACACAAAACCAGACATAGAAGCAAAATCTAAAGAATATTTATCAAAATGTCTTCAGTGACCATCTTGCCTCGTGGGATTATATGCAATTTTAATTAGCTTTATAAAACTTTATTTCTCATAATAAAAATCAAATGTTAAAAAATAGTTTATTCAAGTAGCAAAACATTATTAAAAAAAGTACCTCTTGTACAGTTTCTCCTTGATTTCTCTTCAGCATAAAGGAGGAGCAAATAAAAAATTGGCATCATTCAGACCATGGCTTGCTGTTTATCAGTTAAAAACAACAGATAGATGCATGCGAATTAACGTGGACAGGTGTCCAGAATATTCTGCTGAGCAAAAAAATTCTAAAATAGCAGAACCTGGTGATGCAGTTTATGTAAGACAAAAATAAAACAAAGTTAATATATGTCAATGTAAATGTCAAAAAAGTTAGGGTTAAACCACAATAAACTTTTGGATTGTGGAATAGAGAGGGTTGGTATTGAAAGAGATGGTCAAAAGAGCTTTAGCCTCATTGGTATTTTTTTTTTTTCAAATCAGGAGAATGTACGCATGTAATTTCTTGGGTAATTAAAGATTAAAAATTAAATTTAAAATGTTAAGGTAAGTGCTGGAAAAATAGAGATAAAATGTATAATCTACAAATGTGTTGGGGAATTCAAGGAATAGAGAAAACTTAGTCAAGAAAGAATGCAGAAAGAAAGAAAGCATAAAAACAAAATAAGAAAGAAGGCAAGAGCAAGAGATACACTGAAGTTATCACTATATATGAATGGGTTAAATTTCTATATCAAAAGACAGAGGCTCTTGGATTGAGCCAAGAACATTTAGGTATAAGTTGCTTGTAAAAGACAGACTTGAAGCTGACACAGAAGGACTGAAAGTGTGGAAATCCATATATCAACAAAGCTGTATCTGAGAAACACAGCAAAAAGAAACCAGAAGTGCCACTACTAATATGAGATGCAACTGAATTCAAAGAGGAAAGAATTAAAATACACAAAGATGAATATTTTTCATGGGTAAAAGTTACACTTCACAAAAGATATCATTTTCATCGGTTTTTAGGGCCCTAAGAACAAAGCACTGAAAGCAAAAACTGCTACAAAGCAAATTAAAATTTGATGAACTCATAATCGAGTTTGGGATGGTTATGGCTCTCTCAGCATGCAGTGGATCAGTTACATTAAAACAAAAAAAAGAAGATAGAGATGATTCGAGCAGAACAAAAACACACTTGATTAGAACCAGAGGACAATGGGGCAATATTCTCCCAGACTCTGAGGACAACAGAGAGCCTAGAATGCCATATTCCACTAATTTGTGGCATAAATACACAGAAAAAGCAGACTTTCTCAAACAGGATACGTTAAATAAAATACCAATTTTCAGCTCACACACATGCACAGAAGAGCAAATTAGATGATCTGTATCAAGCTTCTCAGAGTCCAGAGGCATGAGAATAGGGATGGTGGTGTGGGATGGAAGACAACCTGCCATTCTCCTCTATATATTTCTCTGTTGTCTGTATGTTTTCATAGTAAGCTTGAATTCCTTTAGAAATATTTTCTGTAAAAAGATGGGACGTTTCTCAAAAGAAAAATGAAGGAAGGAAGGAAGGGCAAGCATGGTAGATCATAGTAGATGGGACACCAAGTAATTCTCAACAGACTGACAGTCTTTTAAGGGCAATATTAATGATCTCAGCTATCTATTTACCAATATTTAAAATCTTGTATACTATCTATTTACAACATTGAAGTCTGAAAAATAAATAAAGTAGCTATCACTTAATGAGGCTTAATATATGCTAGGCATAATCTCTCTTCATAGTTATGATGAACCCGAAATATATTATTCTTGCTTTACAAATGAGGCTTAGAAAAGTTAGGCAGCTTGCTCCATGGTTCTCAGCTAATGACTGGTGGGAACGGGAAGCCAATCCAGGGTGGTTTGCCTCTAAAGCCAATGTTGTCCACACAGCAGAAACTCTCCTTCAATCACTGAGTCTTTGGATTAAGCCCACAAGTGGGTATACGGCAAGCAACACATATAGGTTGTGCAAAGGAGGCTTTAAATAGATGTGAAGGTTGGGGGGCATGGGTGGCTCAGTCAGTTGTGCGTCTGGCTCTTGATTTCAGCTCAGGTCATGATCTCAGGGTCCTGGGATCAGGAGAGTCCCACACTGGGCTGCTTGGGATTCTTTCCCTCTGCCCCCCCTTCCTCTCTCTCACATAAATAAATAAATCTTTAAAATAGATAGGTAGATAGATAAATAGATGTGAAGGTGCAAACAGTACAGCATCTGTGAAAAAGGAAACACGTGTTTCTTCAGAGCTGACAGTGCAGGAGGCGCTGAGGAACAAGGGAAGTTGAGAGGTGCTGGTGTGCAGGAAAGACACCAGACTGATGTAGGACAGATGTTAGGGTTCAAAGCCCATGAACAAGAAAGAATTCTTGAGACATCTTTGGTGCAAAAAGGTGGTTTTATTAAGGCACCGGGGACAGGACCCGTGGGTAGTAAGAGCTGCCCTGGAGTTGTGAGGAGCAATTGATTATATACTTGGAGTTGGGGGAGGTAAGAGAAAAAGCAGGTTTTCAAAAGAAATGTCATAAGCTCAAGAGGACCTACAAGATACTGGAGGCCTTGTCATTGTCAAGTTAAGGCTGTTTTTCCTTCTAGTAAAGGATTAACATTAAGACAGTTGGGAGTTTCCTTCCGGAAGTTTGGCTATTGATAAGAATGCTTTTTTTTCTTGTAAATCACTAAGACATTTGTAAACTGAGGGGGACTCAGTCCTGTTGGACTGAGATCTCTACTAGTTAACCATCTGTTTTTCCCTTTCCTTAGTTTTAGGGCAGGCAGGAGTGCCTGAGGAATGTCACACAGATGCCACCTGGGAGTGGGGAGTCAGCTTGTGCTTTGTCCTCAGCTTGCCTTCTCATCACACCTGAGCAGGCAGGAGATATGGGGACGGGCCTTTCTGAATGCAGCTTAAAGAGCCCTCCCAGTCGTGACAGCAATGACAAGAAGGCTCAGGGGGAAGTGAGCCACTGTCCCCTTCATCATACCCTGCCGGGCCTCGTCTATCCTATCGCTGCTCCTGGTGCCTAACTGGCTTGTTTTTCCTGAGGTGTTTGGTTCCTAATTTGTTTTCTTTGCTCTGAAATCCTCCTTTTCATCTCACCCTGTTGCTTGTTTTATTTAACGTATATTTTTAGAAAGGTCTAAATAGAACTTTCATGGCTTGAACCATTCTCAGGGAATCTGCTTCCGTTCACCGGGTCGTGTGTTTCTTCCGGGCATCACTAATTCTGTTGTCTTTCCATCCTAAATTTCTGTCTCTCTTATACTTTCCTCGTAAACTTGTTAGTGTTCTTATAGAGTTATATGGATTTCTTCCTGATTAGCGTCGGCAGATCTTTTCCACGTTCTGCAATAGTTCTCTCCTCTCTACGCTAATTTACCCAGGACCCGTTTGTTTGTACACATACCCCACATCCATCCATCTTCCCAGATAATATGGAAGTTGATATATTTCTGCTTTCCACTTTCTTGTTGCCAGAGGTTTGTAGCACGAACAGAAGGGCAAGGGTCACCTGAGCCTACTGCTGTCCTTGCTGGGGGCTAGTCCCTCCACTCTCTGCGGCGCTGAGGCTGGGCCGACTCCACCCACCAGGGGAGGAACACGCCTGAGGGGTTCCACCCGCCACCGTGCAGGGAACACAGCAGCTCCGGCATCCGTTTCTGCCTCCACCAAATCCTGAAGTAGCTTTGCTGCTTTTGTACTTGTGTTTAATCTCACCCGATGTGTTCATTCTTCTAGAACCTGAGAAGGCATTCATGCTAGTTCTTGGATTTGTGGTTTCCACTTCTTTCTTGCATCTGGGGTGGGGGTGGGGTCAGGCGATACTGCATACCTACCACACAGCAGTCACCTGTCGGCCTCAGAACCTCCACGTTCAGCTCAGTACTTAGCATTTTTCATTCATTTGGTCAGATTGGTGGAGAGGACAACTCCAGGATCTAGCCTCATTTCATACAATCTTTACCTGGAAACTCTTCAGGATTGTGGTGAGGATCACATGACTGAACATGAAAACTTCGAGAGATGCATAAGCTGCTAGCATACGTCTACTTCTTTGTGAGCAGTTCCTAATATATTCTAGACCACATAGGTTACACCACGTGTAAATGTATTGAGCTGTTGTTCTAGGAATAATGTTTTCACTATACTCTTCTGTGTCTTGGTATAAAAGCAGTGAGTACCTTTGGATCTGACTTTGCATATTAAAGCAAGTGCCATGTCCTCCTCAGCTTTATAAGCATAGGTGTGCAGTCAGCTCTTGCCCTTGGGGACAGGACACGGAGAGTATCTTCTGTTGGTTTTTAGAGAATGCCCCTCCCCTTGGCAGACAGAGTATTTTGTGTCTCCAGCAGGAATTTGAAGTTAGCAAACCTGCTGGGTCAGTCCAGGAGCATTTGACCATTTGCTGGCAGGAAACTTCCCTAAAAACCTCTAAGGGGATGCCCGGTGTTGGCAGAAGGAATCTGAGCTGAGGGCCTGGGCTTGAAGTAATCGGGTCTTCTTAGACTTTAGAGCTGACCTGGTCCACCAGCTGCCGCTCAGTTTTTGGCTAAGCTCCCCTGGTGGAACATTCCTTAATATGAAGTTAACTGTGGGGTTAACAGTAGTATACTAGACCACCCTTTCTTTTTTATGGTTTTGGATGTGTACTCACTTATGTATTCATTAATTTATATGGTGTGCAAATATCTCTTGCTCTCTACTGTGTTTCACACAGCGGGCACTGAGAATAATGCAGCAAACAGGACAGGCAAGATCCAGGCGTTCATGCAGCTTTATGACTGGCGGGCTGGGCAGGCTCTAGCAAGTGCACAGGGGGGTATGATGTACAGATTGTGATCACTGATGTTTGGGCCATAAATGGGGAACAGTGACACTGGAAGGTCTGTCCTAGATTCAATAGGGTCATCAGGGGGGACTCCTCTGAGGAGGGGGTTTGAGCTGAAGCTGAGAAAGGAGAATGAATTGGCTTTTCAAGAGCTGAGGGAAGACCCAGAGTAGGAAGAGAAATTTGAAAACCAGGGTTTAAAAATAACTTTGCCATCAAACTGCCAACGTTATTTTTTTGAATAACTGGATTTGCAAATCTCTTGAAATTTTAAAAGACAAGAAACCTAATGTTACACTTAGGGTCTTTGAATTTGGGGGGATTTCTAAAATACTTTAAGATGTGTGTGGCTGATGGGCACCTGGGTGGCTCAGTCGTTAAGCGTCTGCCTTCGGCTCAGGTTATGATCCCAGGGTCCTGGGATCGAGTCCCACATCGGGCTCCCTCCTCGGCGGGAAGCCTGCTCTCCCTCTCCCACTCCCCCTGCTTGTGTTCCCTCTCTCGCTGTGTCTCTCTCTCTCTGTCAAATAAAGAAATAAAATCTTTAAAAAAAAAAAAAAGATGTGTGTGGCTGATGTATCAGCTACAGCTCCTCCTGAAATACCCAAACTAGAAAATGCCTAAGTACTCAACAAAAGGACACAGTTAAACTATGGCACATATACTGCAACTAAAAACTCTCATTAAAAAGATTATTTTTAAAAAATAGAGAAATGGTTTTAAACAAATACAGAATAGCAGTACACAATCACAACTAGCAAAAATGGTGGATGTGATGGAAGTTACAGAAAGGTCAAGATTTTGTTGGGGACATAATGAGAAACTAAACATATTCAGATACTTTAATGTCATATTGTTATTTCAGTGAAAGTTTTACAAATAAGGAACGCTGATAACGTGGAAGAGTTATTTTCATACATTACCTGAACATTCCCAGCAATTCTGTTGGTCATTCAGATATAGACTAAACACTACTATAATAAACCATATAAACTATAGTTAAACACCACTGTAAGCCCAGTGCCCAAAATAGTGCCTGGAACTTAACAGGCACTTAATACATTTTATCTGTCTATCTATCTATCTATTTAATTTTTATTTATTTTGAGAGAGAGAGAGAGAGAGTGTGTGCATGCATGGCGGGAGGGGCAGGGGGAGAGGGGGAGAGAGAATCTTAAGCAGGCTTCACATCCAGCAAGAGTCTGTTGTGGGGCTTGACCTCATGACCGAGATCATGACCTGAGTTGAAATCAAGAGTTGGAGCCAGCCAGAAGCCCTGAAATACATTTTAGATGAATGAACGAATGGACAGGTACTAGAAAGAGGGAAGGAAAATTGATATGTTAAGGAAATTTGCTTCTTTATCCATTTTGTTGCCAAATTAATAAGACAAGAGAAGATGAGAGGTTAAAGAAAGACATCGTAGTGTAATTTGAGGACATTTTTTTCTATTGTTTAAGATTTTATAAAAAGGTAGAAAAGTAATATAAAAAAAGTTTTTTCAGGTTATAATTACAGAAAATTTGGAGATTACAGAAATGTTTAAGGATGAAAATAATAATCACCTATCCCTAGAGATACACTATTAATACTTTGTTTTATTTCCTTCTAGTGTTTTTTCTACTTATGTATGTACACGTTTTAACAAATTTGGCATCATTTAAATATAGTTTTATATCTTAATTCTGTCTATTGTATTATGAGTATTTTCTTATTCCTTTCAGTAGTAAGTCTTTAAGGACATGAAGAATAAGATATACCATAATAATTTAAGCAGTGTTCCATTTATGAGACACTTAGAGTTTTCCCAGTGTTTTACTTAATAGTGAAAATACCATTAAAAATATTTGCTACTAAATATCTGCCTCATGGCCCAATTTCTCCTGTCCAACCCTTCCATCTTCCCTTCCCCCATAGGCGCTGATTTGGAGAATCTCTCCTAGTAAACTTCCTGTACACTGTGTCGGTCTTTGAGTTGGGTTCATGGGGAACCCAATTCTGAGGAATTTGGTAATGTTTAGCAGAAATTACATTTGCAGTTCTCCTTTGACTCACCAATCCCATTTCCAGTGATATGGCAAAAATATGAAGACATATGCACATAGGCATTTATTGTAGCATAGATGTAATAGTAAGAATACTGGAAAAAATTTAAATATTAAAAACCCGAATGTCTGTCGTTAAAAATTAACTGGATAAACTACATTGCATCTATACATTTCAGTGTAATAAAATATGTAGTGCATATCTATAGGCTATTATGGAGCCATATCCAGAAAATAATGTGTTTTTTTAAAGATTTTATTTATTTATTTGAGAGGGGAAGAGAGCAGAGCGAGAAAGTGAGAGAGAGAGAGAGAGAGAGAGAGAGCGCATGAGCTGGGGGTAGGGGAAGAAGGAGAGGGAGAAGCAGACTCCCTGCTGAGCAGGGAGCCTGACACGGGGCTCCATCCCAGGACCCCGGGATCGTGACCTGAGCCGAAGGCAGATGCTCAACTGACTGAGCCACCCAGGCGCCCCCAGAAAGTAATGTTAAGTAAAAAAGTAAGGTGGAGAAAGTATGTGTAGTATACTATTATCTTTTTCAAGTGTGTATGTATGCATTCATATATAAACCAACAGTGGAGTAAAGATATTTTTTTTTTAAAAAGGGAGAGAAGAAAATTATATAAAGGGAATAGGGGATAGAATATCGGCCTCTTAAGATTTTACTTTAGATACACATAGCTATGTTACATAATTATAAAATAATTATTAATTCACAAAAGCAACTCCCAAAAGCAAAAGTAAAACATCGAAATGAATCTACCATGTGTATCCACTCAGTGGTATAACCCCAAAGAGAAGGGCTAGTCTAAGTGTCGTTAAAGGATGGTACTTTGACTTTATATACCTCATAAAATATATCATAAGGATGAAAGGAACTGGAAATAATCTTTTTTTTAGAAGTCAAAGGTGAATTTTTATTTCTTGCCATTCAACCAAAAATCGTTGAAATTCCACATCCAATTAAACTATTTCAAGACAAAATACAAAACTCCAACTAACCCTAGAACCCATATTTTTATGACAGTATTTTTGAATGACTTCATAGAAAAGGTTAACAAAAAAATAGCAGTACACCTGCAGTGTCCTTGAATCACTTTTAATCAGTGACACTTAGCATCCTGTGGTTGACATCCTACCAAAAAGTCTTGGTAATGGGTAGTGATTAAATTTTCAGATATTAAAAATTAAGTATTAAAATTTACAATTAGCAAAAATGTCACCATCAGGGAATGGAATAAAAGCTCTGCTTATCCACGTTACTATCCCAACAGACATCTTAGTCTTAATCTTACAAACATAACTATGAGACTGCAGAATAAAAGTTTCTATTATGAGTAACACCACACAGAACTCGGTCAAAACCATTCAGGAAGCACATTTAACAAGATACACAGGCTCAGATATACAGGACCTCAGAATCTCCACCCTCATGCCTCCAATTAATTTGTCAAATTACTTAGTTCTAAATGAATACTCAGGATGACACCTTGATAACTATCGTTTATCCAAATGAAGTCCTACAGCTTAGCCTTGCTATATTTAAAATTTACATCAGTTGGCATTCATAGAGCCTAAAATCTGAATTTAAAGTCCAAAGCCCTTTGGGGGAAAAAAAACCAAATGCATTCTTACTTTCAGTTCTTCATACATCTCAGACAATAATCTCTAGATGTAGTGTATTTCTTCAAAGTCATTTAAATCAAGACTTGATTGAAAAGTTTGGATTTTGTTTAAAAAGCCTTTATTCATTTTTGATCAGGGAAAGGACAATCTCAATGTCAACTTCTCACCTAATCATAAATTTGAACAGGATTCACTGCCTTAAAGACACTGCACCTACAGATTTTGACAACAACTTAAAATGAAAATCTCCCTTGTTCCCTAAGGTTGCATGTTGAAATAATAAACAGTCCTTTGCAATAACCAACATTGGTACTTGGCCTAGGTTTAAGGTCAAATAGCAAAACAGGAGCAAAAGGAGGCCAAGTGCATTGTAACTTGATAGCCAGCAAGTACAAACATCATTGAACAAAGAAAGTTGCAGGTACCAAATAAACAAAAGACAGGTTCATCAGCAGAAAAAAATTTACATTTGTTTGAAGGTGAAGTCAACTACTCTGCGTGTGAACATGTATGCCAATCCTAGTGGCTAATGTGGAACCACAGAAAACAAACTTAAAAACCTTAAATCCAATTGCACTGAATGTAAAATTCAAAACTTGGGTTTACCCAGGAAATTCTCCCAAATCTAGGGCTAAAACTGCTTTTTGATGCACCAGGAAGATGTTTTAATGACTTAGTCACTTAGATTTGCACTGACATACATAAAATTTAAAGTATACTTTTCCCTACTACTCCTTCCTATGTCCGAATCTGGGTATGCTTAGCTACCCAGCTCAGGCACTGATGCATTAAAAATGATGAAATCTACTACCATGACCTTTCCTAAGAACTCACATCACGTTAACAGTTAACACCCAATATAGCTTCCTAAAAATGCCCCAATAGAAATCATTTTGTTCAGTTTGGTGCTTGCTGTGACAATACCAACAGAATACAAACTAGTCCCCTCAGCCACTACCTCAAATACCTCAATCTAACTTTTGCTCAAATTTTAACCTTATGGTGAGTGCTGTGAATTGTGTAAGACTGTTGAATCACAGATCTGTACTTCTGAAACAAATAACGCAACATATTTTAAGAAAAAAGAAAAAGAAGAAGATAGCAGGAGAGGAAGAATGAAGGGGAGTAAGTCAGAGGGGAAGACGAACCAGGAGAGATGATGGACTCTGAAAAACAAACTGAGGTTTCTGGAGGGGAGGAGGGTAGGGGGATGGGTTAGCCTGGTGATGGGTATTAAAGAGGGCACATTCTGCATGGAGCACTGGGTGTTATGAACAAACAATGAATCATGGAACAGTACACCAAAACAAATTATGTAATATATGGTGATTAACATAACAATAAAAAATTAAAAAAAAATTTTAACCTTATACCTACCTGCCAAAATGCTTGTTAAAATTTAACTGCTTTTTTAAACTGTAGCTCCTATACACAGTTTAACAGGACCTTTTCCCTGGGTATATCTGGACATTTTAATCAAGAAAACAAAGTCATGGTATTATTAGCCAGAACTCTTTCTAGCAGACCACTGATTCTGATTTAGCATATCTTTAATAAATGGCTTCCCAGAGACAGGAACAAAGCACAATCTTTTCTATTCATGAAAGGAGCTACCAACATGCTTTGTGCCAGAAAGGTGCACTTTTCCAAGACATAGTCCAGAAGATTCATGGTCTGCTAGAAAGCTTCCACCAATGACAACCCTATGACAAGGTCTCCAGATATACAGAAAAGAAACGTTAAAGGTGTGATAGAAACCTCATTTAGCAGGGAAATGAAGCCTTATAATCTTTAACTGTGCTGGTAGTACTGTTATTTTGCAACTGTTATGTGTGTGTTATGGCATAAAGCCAATGAGTCATTAAGTTGCTTTCTTTCAGAGTTAGGCTTTTTCATCATGGGAAAAAAGGAGACAGATGCACGGTTGCTGAAATGAAATAAAACCCTGTCGCCCAGAAGTTGAATTTGAAGCATCAGTATGAACTTTTGATGTGTTTATCTTTTAAAAATATTTACTTCTTAGCTCTGCCCACTCAAAAAGCCTGGAAACAATGATCAACCCAGGAGCAGTGAGCAACTCAACAGACTTTGGCTCCTAAACACCATTTAACACTCAAACAAGGGCAGGCTCCTTGGAGAAATGGTTGATCTTGGGTCTGCGGCAGGAATGTGTAACGTGAGACCAAAACAAGGAAGTCCACTAAGGTTGGGTCAAAAATTTCAGGAGTTCAGGAGCCTTTTTGTGAACAGGCTCACGATGGCCAAACATGAGATGACCAACAAAGCTACTTCATCAGTAGCGCTGATAAAGATGACAAATGAAACACATTTATTATGTGAGTATTTCAATCCATGAGTTCACAGTGGAGACCTCTAGAAGATTCTAGGTATCCTCTCGAACCAGTGCTTCGAAAACTGGTTAAAAAAGGGAGAAGAGGGAGAATCCCGCATTTATCCTGCCTTCCCTACACAGACTGAACCACAGGGCAAGCAAATAGTGGAGGAAGGGAAGTTCATTTTTATAGGAGTATTCCAAATGCTAAATGAAAGAAATGCTAGAACTTTTAAACCTACCATTTTATAACCACTAATGAATTAACGGATCTAGGGCTAGGCAATGATGATTAATGACTGCTAATATCACAGTGAGAGAAACAGACATTGTGTCCCATCCTATGGGTAGAAGCCTGAAGGCAGGCAGGCGGGGAAGGAGCCGGGGTCTCTGTCTCGCTCTTCAGGCTGTGTTTCTGACAATCACTGTGTCTCCTCTGAGACCCCAGGTCCCACAGACAGGCCCTCCATCTGGGGTCCCAGCTCCTGCTAGACAGTCCTAGCATGGCACCAGCGTCCACCCCGTGACTCATCCCTGGGCTCCAGGGACATTACCACCTCCCTCTGTTGGTCGAGCTGTTGCTAACCCCTCAGTTACCTTGCGGTCTCTCGTACAGGTTTTCAGCTCTTGCATCACCTGCTTAGTCAGTTCCTTGTATTAAGTCTCTCTGTTGAAACACCAGTTAGTCCTGACTGATAAACCTTCCCTGATGACCCTAAATACCTTCCACTTCGTTCCCTGTGACTCTGTCCACTTATCCTGCTTTACTTTCCTGTTAGTTCTTATCAACACCTGCTAGAGTTTCTATTTATAGGTTCCCTCAGTTGCTTAATTCTGCACTGGAATATAACTGAGCAGGTAGCTGGGCTTGGACTGCTGAATGGGGCCTGGCACACGGTAGTGCTCACACAAATAAATCAATATTCTTTCATTTGTTTGAGAGACACTTGATACACACTCTCACCAACCGAGGCACTAGACACGGGAGACAGAGAGGTGAATACGATAAGCTTTTCTATTTGGCCACAGGACAGAGTAGCAGTCAGAACCCAGCCCCCTTTGGGCCTTGGTGCATTTTAATTATCCTGTTTTTGGTTTGTGGTGGTTCCAAAATAGAGTGGAGAATCACACGTATTAAAATGGAAGCTCAGGGGCACCTGGGGGGCTCAGTTAGTTGAGCATATGATTGAGAGAACCAAGCGGACTCCACGCTGAGTGCAGATTCCGACGCCGGGCTTGATCCCACAACCCTGAGATCACAACCTGAGCTGAAACCAAGAGTTGGACACTCAACTGACTGAGCCGCCCAGGCGCCCCTGAGTGTCTGACTCTTGATCTCAGTTCAGGTCTTGATCTCAGGGTTGTGAGTTCAAGCCCTGCGTTGGATTCCACGCCAGGTATGGAGCCTACTTAAAAAAAAAGGCGGGGAGGGCTGGGTGGCTCGGTTGGTTAAGCATCTGCCTTCGGCTCAGGTCATGATCTTGGGGTCCTAGGATCGAGCCCACGTTGGGCTCCCTGCTCAGTGGGGAGCCTGCTTCTCCCTCTCCCTTTGCCCCTCTCCCTGGCTCGTGCTCGCTCTCTCTCTCAAATAAATAAAATATTTAAAAAAACAGGGGAAGATCATCGAAGAGGGAGATCGATCTATTGTCAACACGTGTCAGACTCCCTGTTGGGAAATACCACTCACCTGACGTGGAGTGGGATCTTGGGTATCTTCTTAGAGACCTTGAACCGGCCTGTGTCCCCACAGATGTTGGTGAAGTACACTCCGGCCACACTTGTCACCTGGTTCCCGGGGAACCTGGACAGCACGTTGTCAGGACCATGCTGACTGGCCCAATGCCAGGCTTGGCCCCCGATGAGCAAGCCGCCTCCACATTTCACAAACTGGATCAGCTCTGCAGTCATCATATCATGGTAGGCGTCGATGCAGTAAACCCCCACAGGGGCCCCCACTTCTGGCTGAACTTGTGCCTGAACCCCACAGCCCTGCAGGATACTTACTAGTGATGTCAGGGAAGGGTGCACTCCAGTAGGAGCCCCAGGTGAGGGACAGAGCCAACCCACCGCATTACGAAGAAATGGAGCCAAGCCAGCATCCAGCAGGTAGCCCTCATGGGACACCACCACCAGGCGGCCTTGGCCATAGGAGGAGGCAGCAATGAGGACCTGGCCCTTGTCATTCACCATCACTGGGAAGGAGGCCTCTCCAGTAAGAAGCAGTTCACATGGGATGGGGCCTTTGGGGACATTCCAGCTGGTCACTCCATGCATGAGGGCCTCGAAAGCACGGGCGGGAGTTGTCACCATGGTTCAACTAGCCGCTGCCGAGAAAATCAAAGACTCAGCTTTGTCAGAACTGACGAAGGACAGAGTGAAAACACACCAACTAAATGCATGCGAACAAAAACCATTTACTGGGTTCCCCACTGTGTGCCAACCACTGGGGGTGCAGCAAGGAACACAGCAGACAAGGGCCCCACTTTCATGAGTCTGATGTTTCAGAAGGGAAAGGACAATAATAGGTAGAGAAACAGATAAATGAAACGCAGCAATTAATAACTGTCATGAAAGTAAACCAGCGATGTGTTATCAAGCAACTGGAGAATTTAGATTTTGCATGACAAGAAAGGCCTAGATAAGGCTGTGACCATGAAGCTGGAACTGACATTTCAACTGAGCTCTGAAATGCTGCAGAAGAGCACACCCAGCCCACAGAAGCCCCGGGCAGGGAGGCCGGAGAAAGCCAGGCGGGGAGGAGCAGGACCTGAGTGGCCGAGGGAGGGGCTGGGTCCTGCAGGGCCTGGCACGAGGTGAGAGCTGGTGTGCAGGACTGGACTTAGTATTGCACTGCATCTCTGTGGACGAAAAGGTCAAGTGACCTTTCAGAAACTGCATTTTGGGGGATAGTTTTGACGAAATGAGTTGATACACCTGCCCTAACCTGTGGGTAGCAGTCTGTGGTTTCCAGAGGTCTTTTAAAATTCGGTGTGCCTAAAATTGAGCTCATTATTCCCTTAAAGCAGCTCCTCTTGGATAAATGACTTAAGCCTCAGTTTCCCCATTTATAAAAAGAATAATACACCCCTTGGAGGACTGTTTTTGAAGATTAAGAGGATGCACAGAAAAACACCCTGTTGTGCGTACACAGTGAGCTCTGAGGAGACACGAGGGTGTGCCCCTATGCTGACCTTTCTGGCTTCCCCAAGTGACAAGGGCCATGCCCTGGGTCCCCTGTCCACTCCCCTCCACCCACCTCTGACTTCAGCAGCCACCATGGAGGAATTTCCTGAACGCTCGGGTGCCTTCTCACTTGGGCAGGTGCCCAGGGGCAGCCCTGAAGTGGCAGAGAGCCAACACCCAGGGAAGTGGGGGGCGTCAGGGACACACGCCACGGTGGCGGACCTCACGTGCGTCTGGAGTTCCTCACAGGAGGAGCTGAGCTCCAGCTGCCCACGGTGGTAGACAGCTCAGCCATGTGCCTTTCCCTCCTTCCTGGTCTCTCTGTCCCCACGTCCTCAATCGGGCATTCTGGGCTCACTTTCCAAACACGCTACCTGACTCAAGTTCTTGTAGCAGACTTTACTTTGGGGAAGAAACTAAGACACCAAAGCTCCCCTCTGCCTTTGCCTCCTTCCTTCCTCTTTCCTGTTTCCATACACAGCCAGTCACCTACCTCACTTTGTTCATCGTCGGTGGCCGGGGTCTCTCAAACATCAGTGCCCTCAGTCTGTAGTCACATCTACACTAGATGGATCTGGCTTTAGTCCCAGGACGGTTTCTCACCCACAACCTTCCTCAAGCCATCCTACCCACTTCTCTTCCTAATAAAAACCCTCCAGTTGCATCCACTCCCCATAAGGTAAAAGCTGAGTGCCTCCAGGGTCTGGGCTCTCTGCCGTTTTCCAGACTTTTTTCCTGCTACATTCTCCACAAACCTCTAGCAGGCTTGGCATCCCTGAGCCTGCCTGGTATTTCCTGTACAAGGACAGCTTCTTTCCACCCCCTAACTTCTCTTCCCATCTAACCACTTGTTTCTCAGCAATGCTCCCAGGAAAGTGAATTCATAAAAGAGAACCAACACCCACATGGAGGGAGCATCATCGGGCATGTGGGTGATCTCAGCTTTCCCGTGTAGCAGTGGAAAAAAGCAGCGAAAGAGGTCAGGACGCCTGAGGTCAAGATCATGGTAACGACCTTTGAAAGAGAAGTCTTTTACTAATCTGGACCTCTATAGTTTAACGGGAAAACAGACAAACCCAGGAGATGAGTAATAGTTTCTCCGAACTCTGACTTCCACTCGCTAGAAGTAGGCACACACGCAGACACGCACACATCCGTGCACACGTCCATCAAATTCCTGACTCACCAAGTCCAAAGAGGCAAAGAAACCGTGTTTGGAGACAAACAGCAAGTAGCGCCAGAGTGGCTAAACGAAACGAAACCCTGGACCTAAGAAGAGAGAAACACGCCGACTGAGGGCACGTTCTTGGGCATGCTTCTGGCACCTCGGGGCGCGCCAGCGTGCCCAGGTGCTCGGTCCCCGCCCCAACCGCAATGCTCTCGGATTGGCAAACTCACGATCGGTATTCGGATGTTCAGCACTGGCTCCGGGCGCTCTGGATTTTTGCAGCGGCGCAGCGGGCGGTCCAGGGGCTGGGTGGAGGGGTTGGGCTGGGCGCAGGTGGGGTGGTCCGGGTGCCTGGTTCGAGGGGGCGCGTGGGGCAGGGCGCTTCGCGGCGCGCGGTCTGGAGATGGAGCTGGCGGGCGCAGCGGGAGGTCTGGGGGGGCCCTGTAGACGCTGCTTGGCGGCAGCTGGGGGGCGGAGCGCGGCGGGAAGTCCAGAGGCCGGCGGGGCGGGGCGCGGGGCTATTGGGGCGGTTCGGGGCGGGGCGGGCAGGGAGCAGAGGACGCCCCGGAGTCGCCTCCGCGAGGCGCCTCCCGACCGGATGCACTTGGGACGGTGTCGCGGCTTGCGGGGCTCCTTTGGGGTGCGCGGCTAGTCCTCCCAGGAGGCGACCCCCCAATGTGCAGGGGTCGGGGCCGAAAGCGGCTCTCTCAGGCCCTCCGAGGGTTCCGGGGTACGAGAGGGAGGTTTGCAAAGTTGCTGTCACGCTTGGTGCGGAAAACAAACGCCAAGTTCCCAGTAAACCAGATTCGGGGTAAATAACGCCCAACTGCAACGTAAGCCGCGGCCGACGGTTCGTCGCGTGGAATCGCGCCCCTCCACTCCGGTCGTGGGGTGCAGCCGGGGAGAACCGCGGCTCCTGCATTGCAGGGCTGCCCCCTGGTGGTCAGCATCCGCCCGTGCACCCCGTGCGGACGGAGATTCAAAGCGGTCCAGGGAGCTCAAGCTAGAGAACTCGGTCTGGGAGTATAATAGAAATCTGTGCCAGAGATGTTCTTGCTCCAGGAATTTTCTTTAAGTTTATTCAACGCAACACTCCTTCCTATCAAAGTGAAATTTCCTTCTCCTAGAAAGCGACTCAGCCATCACTTGCCCAGAAAAGAATTTCATAACCTCCAGAAAAGAATTTCATAACCTCCATAACCTTCATAACCTACCAAATCCTCCTCCTCACTACACCAAATACCTCTGCTTCTTATTCATACCCAGGTTGCGATGCCGCACTTGTATGACCACCGATTATCGTTGGTTTCTCTCATAGTCTCTCTTGCTGTGAGTGTAGCATCTGTCTCCGCTGTACTCATCATTACCTAGTTTCATTTCTGTCATGTAGTGGGCTTTAGTTTCTTAATACATAAAAGTGTGTGACTGAATAAATAAGCATATAGTGAATGTTCAAGAGATGTCTGCTGAATCAGTAAATAACTGAGTCTTGGAGGACTAGTGGAAATCTGTTTGGCAGAGGACCAAAGTGCAATTTGGAGAAGACCCATCGGAATTTCAGGATACTTCAGGGTAGAAGCCTAATGTGAGCTGAGGTTAGTTGAATTCTTAGATTATAGGCGAGGAAACAAGCCTTTGGGAACCAAAGTGGAGCAGGTCGCCGAGGGAGTGTGTCAGGAGAGTTCCATGTCAAACACTAAGTTTAGGGAGGGTCTCTACAGTTTTAACCAGACTCTACCTACATCACTGTCTTTATGGTAAAGTACCACTATTCTAGAAAGACTCCTGAGAGTATTTTGGTGTTGATCTAATAGAAGAAAGGGTTTTAAACAAAGGTGATTTTTTCCAGGGCCAGAGAGCAAAAGGTGCCTGTGGTCATCGAAGTATCTGCCATTTGGGAGCAGGAGTTGGCCGAAGAATGGAAACAAAACAACATAGGAAACTGCATGAAGGTACATTTGTTTATTTATTTGTTTTAAATTTTTTATTTAAATTCAGTTCAGTTAGCATATACTATATTATTAGTTTCAGGGGTAGAAATCAGTGATTCATCAGTTGCATATAACACCCAGTGCTCATCACATCACGTGCCCTCCTTAATGCCCATCACCCAGGTACCCCATCCCCCCCCACCTCCCCTCCAGCAACCCTCAGTCTGTTCCCTACGGTTAAGAGTCTCTTATGGTTTGCCTCCCTCTCTGTCTTTATCTTACTTTATTTTTCCTTCCCTTCCCCTGGGTTCACCTATTTTGTTTCTTAAATTCCACATAGGAGTGAACTCATATGGTATTTGTCTTTCTCTGACTGACTTATTTCGCTTAGCATAATACCTTCTGCTTCCATCCACATCGTTGCCAATGGCGAGATTTCATTCTTTTTGATGACTGAGTCATATTCCATTGTATTTATATATACATACCACATCTTCTTTATCCCTTCATCTGTCAATGGACATCTGGGCTCTTTCCATATTTTGGCTATTGAAGACATTGCTGCTCTTTTTCACAGGTCCATTTAAGATGTCGCAAATGACAGATGGTGGCCAGCATGGGCCTAACTAAAGGGTGTGAAGGTGCAGAACCCCAGGCCCTTCCTACAACCTGGGAGAAAACAGAGACTCCTCCATGAAAGTCAACATATTCTCATTGGGCAGGAGTTCTGTGAGGTGCTCTGGGAGATGGAAATGATACTACAGTCAATAAATCTAAGAAGATAGTAGATGTGAAAGAACCATAATACCATTAGGATTTATGTAGGTGTCAAAGTCAGCTGCAAGATAAGTGCCAGGGAAGAGAAAGGAAGAAGCAGTGGTTTCTAGTCATCAGAGATGAACTTACAGGGAAGGGGATGCTAAAACTTAGCTTTGAAAAAAACATAAATGTTGTGTGTGGGCAGAGAAGAGTGGAGGGCATTACACCATGAGACCACATCGTGGTCCGCGGCAGGGAGATGTCAGTGTGAAAGCTTGATTTGAGAGAGACATGAAAATGTTCCTTGTGACCGAGGCTTGTTAACAGCACTTGCAGGAGTGAATTTGGATGGCATCCAAGGAGTTGGGATTGGAGTTTGTAGTCTGGAGGAAGGTTTTTAAGAAATGCCAGGTAGTAAACACTGAGATTCCCTCTTCAGCGTCTATATCCTACCCCACGTCTACTGCCCTTTCTAAGCAGATCCCAATTTTGTTCAGATAACCTACCTGTCCTTTATGAGATCCAGTTCCGAGGCTAGGTATATATTAGCTGATGCCAAGCATGCTACTCCCTATCCTTTGTACTGCAATGACTGGCTCTTTCTGGATTATACATAATTAATAAGCATGAACAATATGATACTTAATTGTTGGGCCTAAGCAAGAGGCATACACAAATCACAACTGTTATCTGTGATACATCAGCCCATTTTTGTTAAACAGGAAAATCCTTACAGCAATTCCACTTTCTCACTAAGCCAAATGCAGGGGTTACTTCATACATAGGCTTTCTAATTATGGGCTAGCACTAAGAGTCACTGAATTCCTTCATCAATTATTTTTAGTTAGGAGTTATACTTAATGTGGTCCCATATATTCTTTCCCTGAAGGGCCTCAAGAATCTGGAAAGGATTAGCCACAGTCTAATTTAGGAATAGGGATGGTTGAATCCACCTCTGTGCATTTACTGGTATGAGTCATTGGGGAGGTTTACTTAGTCATTATTTAAGATGATCCAGAACAGGTGCCTACAGCTGTCTTAAGAATAAGTACCGTGGTGGCCATGAAAATGCTCCGCTCAGATCTCCAACTGCAGGGAGTGGGTATGAACTTGACAGACAGCCCCATCTAATGCCTCTGGAATCCTGGTGCCAGGACCATGCTGCAATTCTCTTGGCTTCTCCTGACTGGTGATTAAGGGGACTAAGGCAGGCCCATTCCTGGGAGACATGGGACTCTTTTGATGGGCGACTGTGGCTCAAGGACTCCCACTGGCCTTGACAGAGACTTTCTGAGACCTGCCCTGCAATGTAAGCCTTTCTTCCTTCTCTCTCTCCTTCCTGAGGGTTACACCTACCTTGAGGTCTGTTGGCCCTCCCAGCCTCTGGTCCCTCTCTGTTTTCTCTCACAGATGTTTCCCTTAATAAATCTCTTGCACGTCTGATCCCATCTTGACTTCTGCTTCTTGGAGGATCCAGGCTAACACATATACTGTTACAATTGTATCTCCTAAAGTTCAAATACTCAAGTGCATTCATTAAATTTGTGTGATAATGGGAGTGAAGAGGAAAGTCATTAACTTGGGAGCATTTAGTATATGTGCTGCCGAAGCAAGCACAACTTGGGAGCATTTAGGAAAGCCTCACCCACTACATTTTTCATTCCTTAGTACATTTATGATCACCTTTGTTCAAATTATAGCATGGTGTTTCTCTAGGGCAAGTTCCTGCCTGCCTGTTTATTTAAAGCAATGAAGCTGGAATTTGCTGCCACTCTTGACAGGTGGCCAGTGCTTAATCAGAGTCAGAAAAGCTTTCATAGTCTCCTTTGGTGTATTTGTGAAATTAAGCTGGAACTCTGTTTTCTTTTTGGATCATAAGTGTATGGAACACATATGGTAGGAGTGGGTAATATTGCAATAAGGAACAAGCGAGGAGTCTTCTTCTGTTTCCAAACTTGTCCCAACTCCAGGTCAGATATAAAGTTTGGTTTGGTACTGAAGAGTTCAGTTGTCTGGGAGCCAGGGTAGCTAACTTAGCCAAGGCTGAACATGGATGTTTTTCCTCTGGCTCTGAAATATCAGACCCATTGGGTAGGCACACAACAGATCCATTTTCTATAATTGCACCCACACCAGTGTGGTTTACATGTCTTCACACACAAACCCACAAATGTTGTCAGGATGTCAGAGGGGCTCATGTATGGGAGTTGGGAGTGAGTGAAGGCCAATCTCTCTACAACAAAATTCCTCCAGAGTCTCAAAGCTCCCAGGCCTATGGGACCAGCAACATTATTTTTTATGTTTTTCTACAAATGTAAACAATTATTTCCAAACTGATTACTCCAGAGTTACCTAACCTCAAGGTCTTCCTTCTCAAGACTTTTCATTTTATGTTGAGACTTGTGATCCAAGTGTCTTTTAATTTTAATTGAGGTCGGATAGATATTATGCAGCTTAATGGGGGAAGAGGGAAAATAGAGTAAGAAGCCAAGAATACCTGAGGCTGTTTCCTATGACTCCCTACACATTTGTCCTGATGAACATTGATATGGAAGTCTGAAACTTCCATGGCTGTGCAAATTTAGTCAATTGTTTCCAAATCAGTTTTCTCCAAATGAATGTGATTCCAAATTCCACTTGTTACTGGATCCATCAGGCCATTGACAGGGGCCCAGAACTTAGAGTTCCGTCTTCATTCGATACCTTTGGTAGAAGTCACAGAAACCACTGAGATGAGCCG